CTGAAAGTGTAGCATCTTCACTGTTCTTACCTGCTTGCTAGTATGCTGGGTCAAATCCAGTCTGTAGTTCTCCCTATCTAAACTCAGCTGCAGGATTGCGCTTTTTTGTTTGCTTATTTTTTAATAAATGCTATTTTTAACTTTCTCTCCTTTGGTGTCATGGGCTTTCTCAGCAGCTGCTGTGTTCCACCGTAGAGTTGGCTGCGTGCTGGGGGTGGAGAATTCCTTCCTGTCCATGTGCATGTTTCATAAGGCTCTAGTAGTAGTGCTGAAGTTCAGAGTGATTTCCAAGGGACGTAAATACTTGCACCACTTAACTTCAGGACAAGCGTAGAGCATGATACGCTTACCAATACCTCTCCATGACAGACAGTATTCCTACCAGATGAGCTCAGTTCAGGCTTGTTGGCACTATCTATATCTTTATGCTAGAAGAAGGGCATCTCTGCATGCCGGTGATGCTGCCTTTTCACTGCCATCCTTTGCCATGTTTTCCATCATGTGGGTTATCGTTAATTTTTGCTGGTGACCACTGCTGGAATTTACTTACAATTTCTTTTCTGACGTTCTGCAGTGTCTAAATTCAGAGACAATTCTGGCAAAGACTTTAAGATGTTGCTTTTAAAGGGTATTATAGTGGTGTCTAGCAACTACAACCCCAATTGTGCTAGGTATTTTGCAGACATATAATGCACTGAATATATTCTGAAAAGTTTTGGAAGTACTTTGTGTACAATTTGATCCTGTTAATTGGTGCTCCAAAGAGACCATGTAGATTGAATAAACTCAAATTTGTTTGCTAGTCTTTTGAGAATCAATACGTAATGTTTCCACTGCTTAATCAGCTGCCCTGGTCTGAGCTGGACAAGATAGTCTCAAAATTAATGTCTGCATAAGGCAAAGGTGCAATATGTTTAATGAAGTAATTCTTCTGGGTGGAAAGTGCCAAGTCTATTTTAATTATTTCCTATACCATTAATGTACAGTTCAGATTTAGGTTTTCCAGCAGGTAAAATCTATAGAAAATAGTATGCAATTTAATTTGCTTCCTTCTAACTAATAGTGGAAGTATGTCATTTTGCTTTAGCTTACATACAGTGAAATAATGTTGAAATCATTCTTGTAAACAGTGTACACGTCCTGTTGTTGGCTCTGCTTCAGATGTTTCTTCACATTTGGCTAAGTTCAAGTAATAAATTGCCGAAAAACTGGAAGACACTCTGGAAGCAGATTAATCATCTGACTCAGTATTGTCTTTTAGTTTGTCACAAGAAATCTTTCCAATCTATGAGATCATGGATTAGCTGCTTGGAAAATTTAAAGAGAGGCATGAAGAACATTCCCTTTTTTTTGCTGCCTTCTCTTTGAAACCTACAGAATCTCAGCAAAGCATAACTGACAAATGGCTCTTCTTTCCAAGCTTTACCATAAATATGTATTATGATGAAAAATCAGGCATCTGAATTGATACCTCCTTCTTTTATCTAACTTTGGATGTTTAGGTGGCATTTATCTCATGAGATGTAGTTTTATATGTTTGAGACTGTGATTTAGACTTGCATTATAATCCATGAAAAGAATTGAATAGTTGTAGAATGTGATTCACTTCAGATTTCTGAAAACAGGTTGCATAAATTTCACTTTAAAAGTCCTTTTTCTACCCATTGATGAAAAAAGAGGCAATGATTAAGTCCAACATGCTATCCAGGCTACCAGTGTAGGTGATACAATGTCTGCAAGACGAAAACGTAGCCCGTGGCTGGACCACAGGGCAAAGCAGTCGGTGGCCTCTTCCCTAGCCCTGTGCTCCCCTTTCAGCCCTCTCTGCGTGAATTCCTTGAGGATGTGCTTTATCCATGAGAAAACGTGGAACTAGGTGCTATAAAATGTATAGTTACTTTAAATTTAATATTGGCTTGGGAACAATAATAATAATATGGCTCTACTCGGAATCTAAATTGCATTACAAATGTGTGCTAAAAATTTCCTTGCAAATGTTCTTAGCTGTGAGGATGAGCTATATATTGCAGAGGCAGATCACAGGTTAGGCTAGCAATATAGCTTTTGCTCTTGTGGGCAGAGTAGGTGACATCTGTTGTGACTTTGTTGATTGGTTAGTTTATATCATTAGCTATTTATTTTTTTCTTTTCTGATACTGTACCACTTTGCTTATTTGGCCGTGTTGAAGTTGCAACTTTATTACTCAACAGACTCAGATGTAAGAACATTCCATCCTCTACTTGCATAACAAACAGGTTATGCTTAATTTATAATTGAACTTTGCATTCTTCAGAAAATTTTATTATACTCTTATATTTTCTTTTCTAGCTTACTTTTATATACCTGCAAAGGGGAGGCAAAGTATGACTGGACTCAAAGAAATCTTGTCTCCAGTTGTAATCTTACTGAAAGTTGTTACAAATTTTATTCTTTTCTGCATCCTTGGAAGGGAACTGCATCCAGCAAGGTAACCACCGTAAAAAAGCAAGTTGTAGGCTGCAGCGAGGAGGAGGGTTACGTTCCTAAGGACCAGGAAGATCGGTGACAGTAGAAGGCACAGACACACTGTGTCCAGAGGAAGGGTTTGCTGGTGCTTGTTGGTCAGCAAGGAAGCGAGGGGAAGAGTCCAGTGGCAATTGGGAGAAGGGGAAAGAAAAGAGATGTACATCTTAATAATTAGTGGGAGTGATTTCTTATGGGACTGTAAATAAACCAGTGTCACTGATATACTACTTGAATATTTATGTTTGGGTAAAATTACTGTTTCTATACAACATTCTCATTAAAGTATCAATTGCACTAATTTTTATGTGTATTTTCTAAGAAGAGCTAGATCATTTTAACACCAACTCATTTCTCCCTGGGTTTCCTTCTGTGCTCTGAATTTGGGAACTGGCTATTTCTTGTTAACTGAATTCAGAAGGAAACTACGCTGTGCCATATTGAGTTCGGCAAATGGCTGAAGTTTGAATTTGGCTTGTATTGGTTAAATCAGGCTTTTGATTTGGTTGCCTATTGTCCAATATGCTAATCCATGTTATTTCCAGCTGAGTTAAAGTGTAAAGTCATTAGAGCAGCGTGGGCCTTTTGTTTGTACAAGGCAAGGTTAAGTTCTGCAGGCAGCTCATACTGCTGCCAGCATGGCTGCTAATCTGAGTTTGGGGATTAATTACCTGTACAGCTGCAGGACAGAGTCCTGTGCTGAGCAGAGGTCTGATGAGGCCAAAGTTTGGGAAGCTTTGTCATGGGAAAAGTTTTTTCAGCATTGTTCAGGAACTTGAGTTCTGGTTTAGTTTGTCAGAACTGGATACTTACGTTACCACTGTGTTCAGCATAATAATATCCTAATGCTGATATTTTAAATATTCTCTGACAATCTGATAACAAAATTAACAAGCAATTTAAACTACATTAGGCTGTAGCTCTTTATAGGCTGTCAGTATTGTTATAGTCTTTGTTTCTGAGTTGTTTCTAATGCAGCTTTTGGTAACTGCAGAGAGCTGTTGGGGGTGGGAGGCGTGAGAAAGCCAAAACACAGTTTATGAACAGATTTTGAAAACAATTTGTATTGGGGTGGTTTGGAGATGAATAGATTTCTTAATTTAATTTTAAATGCAATTTTTCCCCAGACCCTTCTGATTAAAAGTTTGTATGTATTAACATTTTTGGACATGCTTTTAAATGCATTCAGAAGCTGTTGTTTCTGTTTGAAACACTTTATTTTAAAATTCAATACTAGTTGTTACTATGCACAAGCCATTTAACTTTCATTTTATGCCCTTGTACAAAAGAAGTGGAAAACTCCAGTTTGGAATGGAGGAGAATTAAGTACACAAGGAATGAAAACAAATATCAGCTTCTTCACAAAGAGAGATCAGCAAGAAGTATGTGCTGTGGACTCACATTAGGAATGAGGGGGAAGTCAATTATGGTTGTAGACAGTAGCATAAATAACCATTTTTGCTAAAGTATAACTTCTTAAGTTCAAATGAAATCATCACTTGACTATCATTACTTAAAATGATCCAGTAAGTTAACGACTTTTTTAAGGTTTCAAATCCACCTAGTTAAATAAAATCTTGCAATTCTCTTTAAAAACCACACAATTTTTTTTCCCGTAGTAGATATGAACTTTGACATCTTTTGACATTGCTTTTGTCTTACTTTCTTTTTCTTTTGCTTAAGGTAATATTGTAGGAAATTACAATGTTTCTATGTGATAGGAACTGGAGTGGAACGAAAGTCCTCATTTAGGAAAAAATATTCTTATTACTGGTTTTGGGTGGAAAGAATGTGTAGTCCTCATCAGGGAGTTGCAGGCTTTAAGCTTCTGTGGGTTATTTCCAAATAATGGGTGAATTGTATGCAAAGTAATGACCCTCTTAAGAATTTGCAGGCCAAGAGTACAATTACTGAGTAATTCTGAATGTAGTTAATGTTTCTATTTCAGTCAGAGGGAATGTTCTCATAAAGCTGCTGGTATAAATTAGCAGTTAGCAGATGGGGTTAATAGCTATTCTACAGGCTGTGGATGATAACTTGAAAAAGCATAAGCCTATCTATTGCTTGTGTATGTCTAGTGTACATATTCTATCACATATGTGAGAGAGAAAATATTTGGAAGGGTGTGTAGCATATTGGAAGCTCTAGCTCTGTACCTGAATGCCTGCCAGTGCCAGGATGTTGTGTTGAGCAGCACAGTGAAGGGCAATGCTGATCGCTCTGGTTCAGACGTGTAGGTAATTGATAGTGGGGCCCGATTAGCAGTAAGTAGCCCTGAAGCCAACCTCATTATCACATCTTCCTTAAGTATTCGTCTTTTTAACTTTATTTTAATTTCCATTTCTTCCTTTTGGTCACTTAAAAACTTTCTTCCTCAGGAGGTCGTCAGGTCTGATAAAACCTTGTTTTTACCTGCAGCCAGTTATATAAGATATTCCTTGATAAATATACATTGTTGATAATGCATCTTTTTCTGCTCTTTTACTTAGATGACAGTGCCTCTGCTGCGAGCAGCATGGAGGTAACGGATCGCATTGCCTCTCTGGAGCAACGTGTCCAGATGCAGGAAGATGACATCCAGCTGCTTAAGTCTGCCCTTGCTGATGTGGTTCGACGCTTGAATATTACAGAGGAACAGCAGGCCATGCAGAACAAGAAAGGACCTACCAAAGGTTTGCATTTCAGATCTATGTAAAATAAGTAGCGTGATTGAGTGAGTGTTTTATATGTATTAAAGTAGGTTATTCTTTACATCTTTGAAATGCTCAAAATCAACAAATCAAACTTAAAACAAATAAATATTTGAAATTTAACCTGTTAAAGAGAACACATAGCGTTCCAGGTGGTTAAGTCTGTGAGCCTTCTAAAGTTCCCATGAACCAGCGAAGCATTTCAGTGTTCTTACTGCGTAACCCACTCCCATGGCTACCACTTCCTGACTTTTGATCAAGATCAGTATATAAACTCTTCAGGGTATGTATCAGCTTCTGTTGGTGAAACTCCTAAGAGTTTTTTTGATTGAAAACATGAATTAAATTTCAGTAAAACATAATTTTAATTTAATTAAAAAGTGTCTTAAGTGTCTTTGGATGGCGCAGGCATAGCAAAAGACAGAGCTCTGAGCTAGCTAGCGCAGAGGTGACATGACCGAGGAGATGGTGCAACACCAGCTGCTCAGCCGCGAAGGAAAGGCAGAGCTGTGGTTGGTGCCCGACCCCGTTGCAGCGCAGCGGATCCAGAGCCAGTGAGGGGGCAGGTGTGACAGGCGCTGCCACTTGGCAGTCTGCTCTGCTGCGCCCACCTGCTGCAGCCTGCTCTCTCGTGGTTCCTGCTCCGCAAGAGAACGGGTTTGTCAGTACTCAAATCGGAAAAGCTGGAGTTGAACATCCAGCACTTTGTGGTATGCTTGGGAGATACCTATCTGCAGCTTAGCAGAAATGCACAAGGTATTTTTGAGTAGTCTTAGGAGTAAGAGTGGTGGCAACCTAGATGTGGGAAGAAAGTGTGGCTGACTTCACAGGCTCTCTGTTGTCTAAATTAAGAAATTGTTTCTTTTGGGGTCCTGATGTGTATTAATATAAAATTAAAAACTTAATTCACATCAGAAGTATGACATGTAATTATGGATTCATAATTTTCTCAGCTGGAAATTAGGACTTCCTTTCATCTTAGTTATATATTTGTGACTTCACGACAGATATTTAATTTTAGGCATTGATTTAACAGAATAGGTAAGGAGCTACTTAAATAATTTGCTGAACTGAGACATCATGCTTATTATAATGTTTTGTGTTGGGAGACGATGAAAGTGAAAGGGACAGAATTAGAGAGCCAGGTTAGTTGATTGTATACCATGCTAGTTGTTGGACAGAATGTGCAGTAAATGTCTGTGATCTTGTTTTCCTGTTCTGTTTCCTTTCCGTTGTATTCTCCTCATTTTGTCTTTGAAGAAAAAAAAATTACCAGATAAGTTAAATGTTACTAAAGATAGCCTCCACTGGGATAAAATATTCCACCAAATCTGGTTGTACAAGGGATTAAAAGGCTTTATATTGCATGTAAAATAGATATTATCTGATGTGTGGAGGAAATAAAGTCTAGTAATTATTACCGAGTTGTCACCAAATCAGTTGTTCTTGCCTGCTTGCTTTACTTAGCAAAATACAGACCAGTTTTTCATGGATTCTGTGAGCAGAGTTCAGCTCTAAGTCAGGAAGTGCTTTCTTGGTCATGGCAGATCATTAAAGTCATAGTTGTACATTGAAGAAAAGCTGCTGTAAGCCAATCCCTCTGCCTTCTATAGCTGTGTTTTGGTTTTGTTTTAAATGTGTACATGGCATGGATACTTCTTAATGCGTGACAGTGTAAGTTTTACTGTGATAATGCAAACGGAGGACTACAAAGCCTATTGCTCATCCATTACAAATTACTGAAGAGAGTCCTGATAATTGTCAACTAAATCCAACTAATTTCTGGAAATAATTGCTACTGTAACAATTTCCGTAAAGAACTTTTACTGTTACTGTGTATCAGTTGTATCATTAGTGTATGGTCAGCCTTATTAAACATACTCTGTAACATAAAACAGAATCTGAAGTATCCTGATTGTTTGTTTCTTCCAGCTGTTTTGTCAAATGTGATATATTTCACACCATGGACTGTTCTTCCTGTAGCAGGCACAACTATTTTATAACGGATTGCATGCAGTTACTTAGCATAAGACTAACTTGAATTTCAGTATTGTAATAGCGTTGCTGAGATTCGTGATTGAGGCTGTTAGGAGAGGGGTTTGCTTGGACATGGGCACAACTGGAGCGGTGGCTTCTCGTGTTTTGCCACTTGGGCTGTGTGGGACTCAATCTCTTTTCTTTACATTGATCGTTTAATGACTAATTCCACATTCAGAATTGTAAAAGGTGGCATTTGAGCTCATAAAGTGTCACAAAAATCTCGTCTGTGCAAACTGGGGTTTGAAGCATATTGTATGCTGCTTCTTTCATTTGATCTATAGATGAAGTAGATCAGAGTTAAAAGCACGTGTGTGTCAGGGAGAGGTTTGTGCCTTTAGAAAGCAGGATCCCCAGTGTACAGCTTAGTCTGGAACAAGAAGCTTCATGGGACAGAAGACTACATTTTCAGTATACTTCGGATTTAAAATTGGTTTAAAGATTTCAAGTTGCAGACTTTCAAACCTATAGTGGAAAAAAGCTTGAGCTTGTTTTCAGTCTTTGTGTGTGTTCTTGTTCTAGACTGGAGCTAGGCAGCCTAAAAGCAGCGTACATCACGGAAAGTGAGCTGCTTATCTTGTCCATTTGTGGAGCTCCTTCACCAATGGTGTTTGGGGTTTGGGGTTTGGGTTTTTTTCCCCCTTCCTTATTTAATTCAACTACTTGGTGGAGTTCAGTATGGCTTCCTGCCTTTGTTTTACTTGTTTGTTGTTGTTTCCTTTTGCAATTATTGGTTTGTTTGTAAACTTAACAGCCCTATTAATCCATAGATCAGAGTATGATTAAAAAAGCTGCTGCTGAGGCTGATAAACATGTCAGTCCTGCTACCACAGGTAAGACCTTGAAGCAACAGAACTTCCAAAATAAATGTTACTGACAAAGCAATAATACTGATGTGTTTGAGTTACTGACTTCTAACAGCCATGACATGTTTGGAGTTGTTTGACTGTTTCAGTTACCACTGGTGTGAACTAGCTGCTGTAAATAAAACTAAGTAGCTCCAGAGTAAACAGTGGCTTAATTGAATAACGTTACCATTTTTCTGTGTGCTGTGTACAAGTTTTGTGGTGTTGCTTTCTACACTAGCTGACTATGGGGCTAGACCTTTAAATTGCCAGCTGCAGAAGCTGGTGTTCGGCGTTCTGGGTTGGTGCTGGATTTGAACAAAACCTCTGTTAAAAGTTGCAGGGTTTATGCCCGGCTGCTGCTAGTTAGGATTTTGTAAGATCAGGAGAGTAAACAGCCTCCAGCTAGTTGACTCCAGATACATTTTAATAGGCATTTTTTTATATAGCTATAAAGAAGGAAAATATTTGAATCATTCGTTTATTTAACTTTAATTATTCTAGTTCATTATCTCAAAACCTCATTGAAGTTTTGTGAGCTACACATGTCAGGAAACAAGTCTATAACTACTCAACAGCAATCTGAGATTTTGTAATATGCAACAGAATCAGTTTTATAGACACAGATTAATTATGATATTGCAGCAATTAGTTAGGAAACGAGCAGTAGAGCATCCAGCATGAACCTGTAGAAGGAATTTAATTTGGAAGAACGAATACTGTAGAAGTAAATAGGATCATGGTGTCTGAATACATTAATAAAAAAAAAGTAAATAGAAGCATGAGAAAAATACAGTAAAGTTTGGGTGTTTTGCATAAGCTGTGTAAAGACAGCATTAGCCTGTTAAAATAGATCGTGGGAGCGAGGGCTGGAAGGCACCATGAGTTCATTTAAGTCTAGTTTAGCTTTTCCTTAAAGCTTCCCGTAAAAATCAGAGAGCCCTTGTTCTCTTCCTATCCTCAGTGAAAACGATAGTGTCTCACCCCATCAGTCTTCTGCAGTTACAGGCTCTGGGATCCTCAGTGAGCATGGAGAAGATATTCTTTTTTTTTTTTTTTCTTGACTTCTTTTCATGTCCAGTAAGCTTTATTCCTTCAATATTTCCTTATGAGTTGTTTTCTAAATTCCTCCCCTCTGAACAGATATATGATGAATACATGACAAGGCAGTATATATTTTTAACAAAGTTTCAAGACAAAGTTTCTCCTGAAACTCGCATTCCTGAGTAGACCAGATTTACTGATCTAATCTTCTCAAGGCTCAGGCTGTCACGTTTGCCTTCTATTGTTCAATATATGAAAACTTCAGGTGAACCAGTCAGTAAATGCTTGCCATCAGTGCTACAATAAGATGTTACCATAGTATAACCTAGGACTATATACAATTGCTGATTTTAAAGGATTTTTTTAATTATTGCTTTTTAGATTATTTATCCTCAGCAATCTTTTTTTGAAGAATGTTTCATAAGTATTCTCTCTGCTATGGTCTCCAAGTTCAGTGAAATTTTATCTTGTGTTCCTTAAGTGACTTGTGACTGCTGCCTTCCCCCCGGTGTTCTTTCTCTGAACCCAAGAACTTTTGGCATCTTTACAAAGCCGGCTGGTGATACAAAGTTCTGTCAAATTTCAAGTGATGTACACAGCTTTCTTCCCTACTGCAGAGAGCACACTAGTTGTGTTTGTGTCTGTGTTTCAGGGCATGGTCCACTGTAGTTTTCATGTTTGTACTCATGGCTTGCAGCTTTAACCACTGTTTGTTTTTGTAACTAACTTCTAATGTAGTTGAATGGAACTCTTCCATTATTCTAATATTAATTACAGATATGACATATATATCACTTTTTGAGCCAGTGTTTGATCAGAAGAACGTAGGTAGATAATGTCAGCTCATGAAGTCCACTGTTTTGTTGATTTCAATCGCTTTTTCCAACTAAAGGGTAAAATTCGTTTTTGTCAAACGTAAGCCCACATTCTTTAAAAGAAGAGATTTTTTTTTTGAGGAATAATGATTTCTTAATAGATCTTTTGCTTGTGGAAAACCTGCAAGAACATTGAGGGGCAAAGAGCAGGAGTTTCTAGGATGGCAACCTGTCTTCATATCCAGGTGGGCGAGAGACGGATGCTCTTTTAAAAGAACGGGATTGGTTTGGGTGGCAACAACTACCTTTGCACTTACCAGTAACCTCATTGAACTAGGACAGAATTTTGCAGGTGAGGCAGGTTATAGAATTGTGTGCTTAAGCCGTATGCAGATGACTTGCCTGATATGATTATAAATGGAGAAAAAAAAGAGACTCCTTGTTAAATCCTTCATTTATGGTGAATTTGGCAATAGTGAAATAAAAATGGCATACTACACAGACATTTCTAAATATTCTAATATTGTTTGCTGGAGAAAAAAATAAAATAAAATGAAAACAATGATTTCATCTTCTGCCTGTTTTACAGCAAGACCGCTGGTACAAACCCTGCCTTTAAGGACTACTGTTAATAATGGAACTGTGTTACCAAAGAAACCAAGTGGCTCTTTACCTTCCCCATCAGGAACCAGAAAGGAGACTGTATCACCAGCAGCAAAAAGGTATGCATCTGTCAGAAACATAATCATTGAATTGAGAAAATAGTGTATCTCCTCTTTTAAGCTTCCTAGATACTTAGCTTTTCTTACTGGCAAAGCAATAGTCTAAATATTTAGTTCAGAAAGAAAAGGAGAGATGGATTTCATTCTAAGAGGCTTTAAACTTATTTGGCCTTATTAGAGCTAGGGTTATTTCCGTGAATACTCAAAGAATGTGCAATGCTTCGTCTACTGGTTTGTGTTATTTTCTTGCTACTACCATCTAGCACATCAAGAATAAAGCAGTTCCACTGTGCTGTTGCACAACATGACATGAAAAGTAGTGTAAGGATTCTTTTAGCAGCTAGTAGAAAATACATAGTTTGTAGAGAAATGGTGCTAACATTACCAACCAGTATGTAACCTTTGGTGGTTTTCTCAGTAAAAATTATCATGGAAACTGCATGTGCAATGTTAGAAGCATCTCAAGGAGGAGGAAAATCCTATGCCTAGCACGTATTTATGCAAATGAAAACATCCATCTTTAGATACCTTACCACTAGCATGTATTTAAGTCCTTTTAAAAATTACTGCTTTGTCTCAATTTGCTGTCTGTGTGTGTGGTTATATTCAAGTGTGCTCCATGTTTTAGACATCTAGGTTATAAGGATAACCGCAATGGATCCGGTGCCACAAGTTCAGGTTACGTGTGGCAGTTATTGTGGTGCCAATCTGCTGTACGGTTTGCCTGTAAAAGATTATATTGTGTGAAGGGTTTTTTACATTTCTTTTGTTGTGTGTCATCTTCAGCTTTTTGTAATGATGATGCTGTCAACTCTGAGGAGGGCAAGTTGGGGAGATGAGAGCACTAACCTGCTAAGATTTGAGGCCTCTTTTGTAAAGAGATTTTTTTTTTTTTTCCCCCTTAAAGGGGAGATAGTGACTAAGGAATGCCTCTCTTTGTTTCTGTGTTGAAGGTGACTGATTTTCCAGGAAACTCCAGGTTTTGTTATTGTAGAGGAGGTATGCTGTGCACAGTTAAAATTGGAAAACACAGTAACCTGTTTCGGTGTTGCACAAATGAACTCCTGTGAGCTCTTGTGAACTGGGGCTCACTGCAGATGCAGGTTTTGGCAGGTTTGCCTGAATCAGCCCTTAAGAGGAGGAAGGCAAAGACTGTATAAACTGTTCCATTATTGGAATTATGTTATCAGAATTTTGAAAATGGGTGAAAGAACCTGCCTTTTAAGAAAATTTATTAGAGTTTAAAAAGGAGAACTATTTTGTATATGCTGAATTTTTAAAGAAATTTGTTCTTTACAAATTATTTTTTCTGAGTAATTCTCTTAATTTCATTCTCACTAATAAAGTTTCAAGTGGTAATTATAAAACACATGAGAGAGCACAAGTGCAGGTCAAGATCATACTTGTGCTTTCTCTATTCGGAGAGTCTTTTGTGTAATTCAGGTGGTCCATCAGGTATTGCCTGCAGCCTGTAGAAATTATCCTAGCTGAGGATCCCTGTAGATAAGTGACACCCTACAGCCCTTCCATCTGAGCTGTCTGCTGTCAGGATACCCTCAGTGCCAGTGGGAGGGTCCTTAGGGAGCTTTTGACTGTCCTGGTTCTTACATGAGAGTCTTCCACAGGATGAGTATTTTAACGTCCTGTTATTATGCTTTATCCCTTCTCCTGGCTGAAGGTGCTAGACTGGAGGTGCTTTGAATATGCAGTATGAAAGTGTGTATTCAGTTGTGGAAAAGGAAAAATACACACGGGCAGTTCTACTGTTATAGATGGACACTTATTAAGAACACATAGGAGAATGGGGTTATTCCATGTCCTGAAAAAAGCAGTTATAAATCCAGGTGCTGTGGAATTCCTATTCCCTTCTCCCTCTAAAATTCTGTATTGATTGTCTTTAATATGCAAATTTTGTTCTTTAATTCCATTTTTTATTAAATTATATTAAAGTATATTTCTGTGCCTTGCCTATAAATATACTTCAAGAGGAAGAGAATGGAATGGTAAGGACCTCACCAATGAATTACTGTACAAAATTTTTTTTTGGTAAATTATTCTCTGCTCTTATAATTTGATAATGAACCTTAAAATAACTGGTGGGATTTCATGTTTTTGTGGTAAATCATGCTCCAACTATGCAGTAATCAAAGATGATGTATTAAGTGTTCCAAATAGCTTGCTTGCAAATAGTCAGGCAGATGAATTCATTATGCATTCATTAAGATGAATTCATTCATGCTTTGTATTTATACTGGATCCTTTTACCTTCAGGAACTGTATGTGTGTATGCATAAAACAGTAATGGAAATATTTCAGCAAGATCAAATAGCTTCCCTTTTTTTTTTAAGGGGTAGGACTTGTTTCTGTTAGAAGCTTCACTCAGTGTTGAACAGTTTCTAGATGGTGTGTAACTTTAAATAATTTTTTTAGTTCTGATTTCTGCTAAGCAGTCATGTTTTTATAGTGGTCTTTTCATATAAACCGATTCCAAAACTACTGCTACTTTGTAGTGTAGGTATTCTTTAGTCCAAAATATGGTAATGTGGCATAGCAGCTCTAAATAGTATTAAGTTTTTATACGTGTTTTAAAACTGAATTTCTACTTGGATACTTTTAATAGTTTTCCTATACAACATAGGCACACAATTGAAAAAAATGAAATTTTTCAAAATATCAAAAAGGTGAAATTTGAAAAGTGAAAAAGTTAAAAAAAAAAGAAAAAAAAAAAGAAAAAATCTCTTAAACCTTTGGTCTGCTGTTGAGAATTACTACAGCAGAAAAAATATTATATTCAATTTTTTTCTTACCTGTGACCATATTTTCAAGAGAGGCAAATATCCAGTCCTTCTCAGATGTTTTACTGAACAGCCTTATGAAAAAGGGGATTACAAATAAGTAACTTCTGATTCCTCCATTCTCCGCTACTTTCACCATTGAGGTTAGGAAGTGTGTGATATCCAATTGAAATGACATCAGTCTGTCCCTTGAAACAGTATGTCGTGCATATTTATATAAGTACATGCAAATAATCTCCGTGGGGACCAAGTGTGCATCCCATACGTTCCGCTGCTTAGAAATAGATGTACTTACTGACATGTCTGCACACACAATGTCACTTCATACAATAGCTGTATTTAAATATGTTGGTTAACTCATTTGAACCCACGGGTTAGTATACTGCTTATCTGCCTTGCTGGATTACCAAGGAGATGCGGTTCAGAGTTCACTACATTTTCTGATTTCTCATTTAATATTTGAAATGGAAATTACTTCTTCTGGCAGAAATATAAAACTGGAGGTAATAAAAAAGGCTCGAGGCTGAAAGGGTGGAACTAGCAGGCTTTTATTTGAGTTCTGCCATATATTCTCTCAATGACCTTATGCAAATCATTTAACCTCTATGCATATTGGTTTTCCATATGTAAAATGTGTATCTCTGGATATCAGTAGGTTGTTATAGGGCCTAATGTGATAATTAGATCCAGATCTTGCAAAGTGTTGAGTAACCTCAATTGACTCTGACTTCAATTAGAATTGAGGGCACCAAACCCCCCTTCAGCATTCAGATCTCATACGGTCAACACCCAATTATCCAAGTTAAGGAAGGAATGAAGTAACCTGAATAGAGCAAAAGCACAAAAATAAAACACAGGTCAATCAGATCATAAAATATATGGTAATAATACAGTGCAAGATAGAAAGCCTGGTGGTACTGGGACCAAAAATTCTGGTCCCACACTGAGAGACACTGCCGCGGTGAGGTGATGGGGTGCCATGTGAGCACAGCTGGCGGCTTCCAGCTGCACGCCAGCTAATGCAGAGCTGAAGTGATTTTGTGATGTGCTCGATAATCACCTGACACAGATAATCAGGAATTGCCTGCCTTTGTAAAGTGCTTCAAAGTCATCTTCACAAAAAGCCTTTGCTTAGAGGATTTTGTTTTAAAATTAATTTATTTACTCCTTTCGTGCTGTAGAAGTGTAGAAGGTATTTTGAGTACCAGCTTTTTGAACACTGTCATATTTTTGATCTGAACTTTCTGCACAGAGTAATGATTTGAAACGTTCATTCAGAATAAGATTAGTTTAACGTATAGTGAGCAGAACTTTCCCTTCCCCCTGCACTCTTCCTTTCAGATGTAATGTGGCTTGAAGTTCCCTACTTAACACTAAATTTGTCTTTGGAATTTGGCCAGCGCACAGTAGTAATGTTTTGTGTTCCCTATTAAAATCTAGGGGTTTGTGACTCATCTAGGATAGCTTTGTTTCCAAGAGCTGAGGAGGAAAAAGAGGGGGAAAAAAAAAGTAAGGGAGGAGAATGCAGACAGTACCTTTCCCAGTAGGGATGCTGCTGCGGGCTGTGGGCTAGCACATACTTTGCCTTTCAAAAGCAGACAATCAGTCATTCTTTCTCCCCCAGCAGATTGTAAAGTATTACAATGGTGCAAAACTCTGACAATAGAGATCAAAAGGAAGAAGCTGGAACAAAGAAAACATAAAGAGCTTTGTTTGTAGGGAGAATAAAATACTTTAATATGATAAATTCCTGTTCTTCTAAACTCTAAACACATGGCCCCTAGGAAATTGTTCAGTCGCCTGGAATTAATGTTCTGCGTTCTGGGAGCAGCGATGGTTTGTAACTGGCACACACACAAACCCTGTATCGAACCTTCAATTAAGTCTTCTATTTGACTTGACTCTCAAAGAAAATGTTTTAAAATAAATGAATATAATTTAAAAGATAAATCCCTCTCCATTGAACTTGGAGTGGCAAAACTATTATGCCACTTCACTATATCTCTAACAATTAAAGTTATTAGTGCATTTTGCTCAAAGGCATAATGAAATTAAAGTCATATGTTATTCTTTAATTTATTCTAATTGATTTAAATGAGGGTCACAAAGAGTGCTAGACAAGTTTCAAAATATTAATAATATCATCAGTTACTTTCTAAGAGCATTGTGAGCTATTTTTTAGTTTATTTTATTAAAAATCTTTTATTCCCCCCCCAAATTTTGATATTTAAATATATATCTTTTTTAATTTTGGACAGATTTATTTACCTCAACTAAGTAATGCAACCATCTGAAACATTCATGCTATGCAGTGGTATATGTATGTGTATATGAGGATTTATTTTCTTGTCTTTATTGTTGCTTTTTTAATAGTCTTTGTCTTCTAGCTGGATCATCTGTATTGTTTCTTCAGATAGTCTCTTTGATTTTCTTTTTTTTTTTTGAGTCGTTCTAGAAACGGTCAGTGTGTTGGAGCATTGCTGAGATTTTGTCATTCAAAGATACATTGGTGGTGTTAAATGTATGGTTTGAAATGATCAAACATCTAACTAGGCAATAAGCACTGTGTTGTTTACTCTTGCACATGACTTCATATCTTGAAAGCATGCAATTATGTCTTTTAATGTAAGTTTGTTTTAAATGTCTTGTTTCCACATTTTATTGTTGCATTCACTTTTTATTCTGCTTTGTTTACGCACCTCTCAATCTGGATTAAGCAGGTCTGTGAATCTTCTCAATGCATGCAAACTGAAAAAGCCTGCTCTAAGGTGAGGGATCCTTAATAGCTTTGTAGTGTTGAAGCTCAGTGGTTTTTCCTTTCTGTTTCGGTTCAACACATAAAAAGTGCCTGGTTTAGCACAAGCATTAACATGGTAGAACTGTAATTATTGTTCTCATTTTTAACATTTACAGTACACGTTTAAAACTTTCTCATCATTGATAAATGCATTGCAAAACTTACCATAACTGAAATTGTTATTATTAATCTTCATTATCTCATGCTAACATAATTTTTATTGTACGGGTGTTTCATTACACCGCATTGTTGTCTTCAGTTAAAAATTGTGTTACCAAATGTTGTCTTGTTATATAATTGAAAATGCTCTCCCTTCATATCACTAATGTGGAAGCCAAATTCTTGAATCCAGTTATACTCTTACAAACATGTAAGTTAAATGAATATTTTCTATCATTTTAAATTCCTCCTCAGGTGACAGTATATCTGCTGTAGCCGTGGACATAATCACTGGTGTTTAATACTATAGCTACCAAAATGTGTATATACCAAAATTGAGTTAATATAATGGAGTTATAATCCTCTTTTCCAACCACCTGCTGATACTTCTCACTGGGCTTTTTTTGTTGTTGTTGAAAGTTTAAAATAAAATTTGTCAGAAGATAGCATTGCTAATTAGTTTAAGCAGTAATGGACATAAGCCAAAAGAGTTTAAAAGAACTTCATTCCTGCGGTAAAAGAAGTTTTTATGCTGATATGAGACTTCATTATTCAGAACAAAGTTAGCATTACACTTTTAAGCTTTAGTCCCACCCATTCATTTTTTTTATCCACCAGTTCATCTTTTGAGTGTTGGTAGTTATAAAAATAAACCCCCAAGCAACATAAAAGTAAGTTTAAAATTGCTTCTGTAACTTTCATTTTTTCTATTATTAGTATAATTTGGTGATTTTTCTTAATTTAATTTCAGTGTAGGCTGATACTGCCTCTTCTTTTTCTTAACCAGGAAATATGCCAAAATAAAGGTTTGATCCTGCAAAATTACACAGAGAGGATGTTTTTGCAAGTACTGTAAATGAAGTAGTGGAAGGACGCATGCTAATAAAGATATTTGATGTGGAGTGAATATTTTCAGTATCAAGGCTTTATTTTTTAACTGTAGTAGTATTACATTGGATGATGTTATGAGATGCAGGGAGAACAATTAAATGTTAACAGTATATTATGTAATTTACTAGTGGATGTTTTTTCATGCATTTGACGTTGAGATGACTTGGATAATGTTAGGCTAGTGTAGGAGACACTTATTTCTGAAATGAAGACAGAATTAAATTCTTTCTACTGCCTTTTCCTTTCTCCTATGCATGTATTTTGTTCTGTGCCTGTGTGTAACTTTACATTCTGCTTGTTCTCTTACATTGCTATCTCCACAGAAACGTTTTCTGTTTTTTTTAATTTCAGCTTAATTGTTTAAATTGTGCTTATTTTTAATAGAAAAATGGAGCACTGAACATCTGTTCTACCATTGCATGTTCCAGAAAGTTTTTTGTCAAGCTACCAGAGATGCATCTTAACATGCATCTGCTCTGCAGAGTTCCCCCTGGATGGGGGCTTCCTTCCTTTCAGAAGGGTGGTTGCTTTGCAGAAAGACTCCAGTTCAGTTGTTCCCATCATTTCTGTAGCTGCGCCTCAGCTGAGGTGTTGAAACATTCCTTTCCTCGCTGGTAAAAAGACATAAGGGAGCAGGAATTTTTTTTTTTTTTTTAAAGTGTATTGGTGGTGGTGTACAGTTGAGAAGCTGAATATGTTTTGATCAGACAGAAAAGTCTGTCTCATTTCCTTTAGTTATGAAGAGCCAAACCCTCTCTTTGTTACACCACACACAGAGTGGGATGGAGCCTGAGGAGCTGACTGAGTTAACAGGGTAGGGATAGTTGTTAGGGGCTGATGGGGAGGTTTGGAATAGTCCTCAAGGATGCTTGAGATGAGCCTTATGGTAAGCAGAGCATCACCGGGGGTGTATGGAGGTCAAGGGGAAGCTGGCTGGGGATGGTAAAAGGGGTGACTGGGATGAGATTGGGCCTTGAAGGAGCAAAACCAGAAAGAACTGAAGTTTTAACAGAGGGAAGGAGCTTGTGGTTGGGATTTGGGTAGAGGGGTGCGAGCTTGAAAGCAATTAATGGTTTCCATGGCTTCTGGGATGAGAGAGCTGCTGAACGTGGCCATTTAGTTATGGGGATGTTATGGGTAAAGGGGACGTTTCTGTTCTGCTCTTCAGAGGGGAGAAAATAGCACAGGATTGGGGTGGGGGGAAATGAGACCCTGGCACCAAGTCCTGTCATTCAGCTGCCGCCCTGGGGGTGATTCCTGCCCCAGTCCGGGTAACGATGCCTGCACCTCTCTGCCGCGCAGGGAGCGCGGCAAAGTGAAAAGCATCACCCAGCTTGGGGCCTCACCCTTAGCTGCTCCCTCTCCTGCTTAGGAAGCACTGCTGTAGGGAGAGGTGCTTTGGACTAACGAATAACTGCAATTTGTCTCCTGTTAGGTGCAAGCTCTGAGTGGGCTTCTCTTAACTTACTGAGCAATACTGCTTGTGTTTTGGTTCACAATTTTCCATCAGAGCGAGCTGGATGCCTAAGGGGTGCCATAAAGTCATACAAGAGCTCCCTGATAGCTATCTTGGCAGGAAGGATGGTTGAAGAGTGCAAGAATTAAGGCAAGCTTTAAGCCTTTGAGAAACCCCTTGTCAGGAGATGTGGGGAATCTAATCTATTCATACATGTAAGTAGGAAGCATACGTTTTTGACAAGCTAACGAAAAAATGCAGGCTAGCTCACCATTAATTGCACTTCGGTGTATGTTAAAACTATCTTTGAACCACAGAATAATTGATACTGAATGAAGACACAAAGTTAGCTTGACCTACTTTTGGCGTTTTCTGTATTCTGGCTGGAGGTGTCAGGTAATATGCTTTCTCTTAAAATCTTTTACCTCTTATTAAGAGAATCCAAAAGTCCAGAAGTGTGGAGTGGTAGTCAGAGATTTGAAAAGTGACCTGGAAAATATATATTGCAACTTACTCTGTGATACTGGTTTAGCCTGTCTTCTATTTTATGATTGAGGAAAAAGCAGTATGTTTGTCTCTGTTGCATGAGGTACTCAGCAAAACTCTTATGTAGGCTCTTTAACAAATTAATTTATGATTAAAAACAAAATTGTAGTTATTTTTGGGATTAGCATTCTACTTGATATGTTTCTCAAAAATATTTGTCGTAGAGTTATGTGTTTTTACAAGTGCCACTGTACAACTTGCTCCTTTTTTTTGTTAGCACTGTTAAGAGAACCAGTTCAGCTGAGCGTGTGTCCCCAGGCGGTCGGAGAGAAAGCTATGGAGATTCCAAAGGGAGTCGCAACCGCACTGGATCCACCAGCAGTTCATCTAGTGGTAAAAAGAACAGTGAAAGGTAATGTTATCTAAATATCTATCTCCTTTCTCTGCCTACCTGCCCTAATAACTGAATTAGTTTCTTTAATGAAATTAGGGTCTCTGATTTAGCAAATACTGGGATTTTATTTTTTTAAAAACCTCCAACAGTTGGACAAAAACATATTTTAAAACATTTCAAATAAAACAGGTTTTCAAATTTGAATAAAATTTATTTGCCTTATTTCCAAACCATAAACAATGTGAGAGCCTTGAGTTGACTGGAAAAATCTGTAATTATTAAACATACCTTTTCCATTATCTAAGTGGTTTCCCTGGGTCTTCAAGTTCCTGACATGTACTTCTTCCTGGTGGTGGTGCGTTGACCCCAGCTGGCAGCTAAGCACCACCCAGCCACTCACTCCCTCTCCTCCAGCAGGATGGGGGAAGAGACTAGGAAGAGCAAAAGTGAGAAAACTCATAGGTCAAGATAAAAGCAGTTTAATAAATGAAGGAAGGAGGAAGAAAAAACAAAGCAAGCGATGGAAAGACAATCACTTCCACCTTCCACATGTAGACTGATGTCCAGCCAGTCGCTGAGCAATGACTGCCTCAGTCCGAGGGTCGGATTAATGAGAAGTGGAGGGAAAGGTTTATGTGCAGGTGCTGTCCAAAGAAGTGGAATAAAGCGATGCCTGTCTCTGTGATATCTCTGATGAAGCTTCTCTGTGCTGCTGAGAGTACAAGGAAAAGAGAATGTCTTGTCCAAGGGTTTCAGACTCAGGATAGTCTTGAACAAATTCATTGATGCTTGTGGCAAAGTCACTGTATTGCTCAGCTGGTTCTTTCCTATGTTTCCTAGATAGATTTTAGTCGTGGCCATTTCACTTCACCTGTCCTATTCCAGTTTCCAATCACCAAAAAGTGGTGTTGATGGTATTGTGTCACTATCTCAGATGAAGTGACCATAGAAACAGAATGGTATGGCACAAAACATCCCTTCCTTTTTATCCCTTCAGCATCTTCACTTGATGTAAGGAATGACTGAGGTTGTTGTGTACTAATGGACAGCCTAAATATGGGTGATGAAATTATTAGGAGTTTGTTGCCTGGCTTATGTTTTCAGCTATGAAGCAAGACAGCAAGTGTGCAAAGTTTATGAAACTTGTGAGAGGCTTAGCAAATTATGGGAATAATGAAAAAATTAAGAGTACCATCAGAGAAAGGGTTATGAAATTGTAACCAAGGAAGATATAATTAAATATTTACACAGACTAAAAATTTAGCCAGTGTAAAATCTTCTTGGTGATGTGCATCTATGCATGTGAATGAGGTTTTTATAAGCTGACAGAATTCTGCAAGACTGGGCCTTCTGGCACTTCTGGAAATCTGACATTATCTCAGCATATGTTTTTGGGGTTTTTTTTTGGTAAAATAATTATAAACAACAGGTAGCCTTTGGAGAATGCATTTTGAAGAAATGAGAATGCTGGTTTTGTTTACAAGATTTTTGTACTTCACTTTAAATTTCCTAAAAGACTGAAATATAATTGCAAAAAGAAAAAAATTACCATAGCAATTAACTCTTTAAGTAATCCCTAAATAAATACTATTTTTGAGAGGAAAATCAATCTTCAATTGGATTACTTAGAAGCCATGTCTCTTTCTGCGTGTGCAGACTTGGACAAAATTGTTACTAAACATAGAATCATAGAATGGTTTGGGTTGGAAGGGACCTCAAAGACCATCTAGTTCCAACCC